ACCGATGTGGTCCTTGTTTTCCTTGGTGTTTTCCTTGGTGTTTCGCTCATCTTGGCCCTCTTTTGAGGGCGGTGAATGGATAGGGAAGTACTCTCATCACACGAGATGTGAAGATGTTTATCGTCAAGAATCACAATGACCCATTTTCTTGCTGTTTGTGGATTATCACGACCAGGTGGGGCAAAATGAATGGTATTTGAAGTTCTGGGAATATGGGAGCGTTTGCCACAGTGAAATTGCTTAGCAAGGATCAATTGAACAGGGGCAGGGCCACTTCCAGACTGCGTTTTAGCAAACGGGCTTTGGTTGTGAGGTAGATCGGGGTAGAACCATGTGCCCAAGTATTCTATAGCTTCGCAGCTCACAACGATGCACCAGGACTCCTAGGACCTTCAGTTCGTGACCTCTTTGGAGTCTCTAAGTGACCTTTTACGGGTCTGTTGGTGACCGAAAATCTTGGGATATCAAGTTCGGTCACGAACTGAAGGTCCTGGCAATCTTCAATCAAATAAACATGCATCTCAGACGGTCGGATCCATCTCCGAACAGCTTCTTCCAAAACGGACTGTCTGACTGGAGGCTGTGCTCGGTCCTTGTGAAGGTTGGCAGACATTCCATCGTCTTCGGGTCGAGCACCGCTTCGCTCGAGATCGCCCGGGGCGCGCCGAACTGTTCGTCGTTCTGTTCCGAGCGCCGAACGACACGCCAACCACAGAACCGGGCCAACCTTCCCACAGCGACGCGCGCGGCGCGCGACGTGGAACTTCTTGATCGGCGACACTGCGGAGAGAAGCGGTGAAACCGTGGGACGGTGCGAAGTTGACGTTGGTTTGGGAAAGCCACTGATGGGTGTTTTTTGTGCATGGAAGAGAAATGAGACTATCCATTCAAAATCCAGCTTGTAGGTTGAGTTTGAGCGAATTTGAGCGAGCTAGTGAAACCAAACATGACTTGCCAAATCTTTCCAGTCAATGTAGGCAACTGAGTCTGATTTCATGATTTCATCAAAAAATCGCCTGAAGTTTCACCGTTCCGCCCGATGGTACGCAGCAACGCCGCCGGCATTTCCTGTCAGGTTTTTTGACCTAAACATATCGTAGGAAAGCCTTTGTCATTCTCTGTGCCATGGCATTGAGGGCACTGAGGTTTGCTCTTTGAGCTTTGGACCCAAATTGGAGATGGGATCGAGTGGTTTCCAAACTCTCTGAGACTGGCTCTCCCAGTCCCCCCAAAAAGGGGCCAGTGACCTCCTAGGGGAGAAGGACTTCATTCGACCTCAAGAGGTCCGGACTCTTTTGAATGCAAAGCACTGAAGGTCACACCGTCCGAGTCACGAAGCAGACGGACTGTTTAGTAGCTTGTTGGTTGATCGATATGAATTCAAACGGTGATCATCACCTTCCTTACAAGTCCAAACACCGTTTACACCCACGATTCCAAACAAGCTTTCACGCAATGTGCCGATGTTTTTTGCGGAAAGTGTACCGAGGTGTGGGTGTTTCAGCCAGTGCCACTTGCCTGGATGGCGGAATTCCCTTTGGTGAGCGCAAGAAGCTGGCGACTGGGCTGGAAGTCGGGTCCGAGATCGAGGGGTTCATCCCAAGCGATCGACCGATGGGAAGCCGAACAACACCGGGATGCCCAGGTCATGACGAGTGTGGCATGGAAGCCGCGAGACGCCTTGTCCCGGTGTCCACCGTTCCGACGAACCGAGAGTTCACGACGAATGGCGAACGCACCCGAGCGCGGTTCCGCCGTTATGTGAATTGGAGGGTTCTTCGAGGGACCGGGAGATCTGGCCAGAGGAGGGTGAAAAGGGGGCAACAAGCGGACTATTTGATGCTGCACTGCTGGTGTGGGAGTAGCAACAAGTATATATTACAGTATATACTAGTATAATACTGTATATATATATATATACTGTAATATATTAATATTTATTTATATATACGTAGATGAGATGAAGAGCATAGACCGGCCACTGATCATGTCGAAATAGCCAGCCTGCCGGAGATATAATAGCCTACAACTTATGTATCGTTATTGTTATATCTTGGTTTCAATACATCTAATATATATATATAAAGCATAACATATAATATATATAATATAACATACCAGGACCATCCTGTCTGGGTTTCCAATGGACATCTCTAAGTAGCTTAGGGTAGTCCAGCCAGGACACCCAGACAGGATGGACCTGGACAGGACGCCCGAACTTGTGGTGCTTCATGGACACCCCGAACTCGTCACCTCGGCACATTGTGCTTCGACTGACGGGCCGAAATCGCCTGAAGGGACCAGGGACATCAGAGGTATCCCTAAAAGCCCAGCCTGACTCAGTAAAACCTGGTCTTTTACCTCCTTGAGTAGTACTTTTGTATGACCACTGGACCTGTATTTTATGAGGCCAAACTGACCTGTAGGGTATATTTTTACCTCCATGGAGCTCCATGTGGAACGGAGTAGACGTTTTGGAGCGCACGTGGCATGTCTTAAGACCGCCGATGAAGAACCGTCAGTGGCACGGGGACGTCGCTCTGGAAAACTCCTCCCCTTGATCCAGCGCTGTGCATGGCTTGAGGAGAATGCCAATGGGGAGTCGTATCCCATAGGGATATGGATTCCTGATTGGGCTGCCTCTTATGCAGCCAATATTTTGGTCGCCACCATCGTGGAGGAGACGAAGATGGCTGAAGATGTCCATCTTTCGGCAGATCAGATTCTGGGAGACCAGCTGAAGACATTTGAAGACCCAGGGTGGCCCCGCCGAAGATTGAGATCTACTCTTGCTCGTGAATATGCGATGTTGATTGACATATACATGCTACTCTGGTACCTAAAATTCAGACGCAAACCGCTGCAATAATGTCCAGCACTCAAAGACAAGACTTCAAGATGTGTCTACAGGCATTGCTCACCATAATCACACTGGGACCAGGAAGCTTTGTTGAACTGTTGTGCTTTGCAGCAGTTCTCACTAGAAGCTTCAAATGATCTTCAATCAACTTTAACAACAACACACATGCCATAAACCTTTCAACACCTTTGATAAGAAGGGAGAGTAGAGTTGATGCTTTTGAAGTGAGTGCATTACAATACAACCCTTACAGTAGGTCTAAATGGGATCTTTACAAAAGAAAGACCTTCACATGAGCCTCAGCACAAAATTGTGGTCTTGCATCATAAAAGAAGCCTTGCTCAGTGCCCTGCTCTACCATAAGCCTTAGCATACACAGTATGAGCCACATAACACGATGTATTGAACGTTTATCTGCCGCAAATTGGAAATGGAAAAACACTTTGCAAGAAGCAATTCCATCGGCAATGTAAAGCAAAAGAAACACCTTGCAATGAAGAAAGAACGATGCATTTAAAGTAAGCGCTCTAGCAGAAAAGATCTGAACAGGATCCTCGTCAGACGTGTCCTTTACGCGAGCAGGTGACGACAAACAGGGGTTCAAGAGACTTAGTCTAAGAGATTCAGGCGGTCTCAGACCACGGACGTGATCCAAAAGCCAAAATATCGAACATGTTGGCTCTGGGCCACTGCTCATTTTGCTTGAACAATTGTTGGTTGCAATCTTCGCAAACCGCCACTGCTTTGAAAAAACAGCAGCGATTTCGCTGGAGACTCATTGCAATCAATCAAAGGAACCTCGTCTTGACAAGGGTGCTTATAAGCACATCACTCTGATTTGGATTGGTTTCATGGAAATCCTCAAAGGTTCTGGTGATGCTGCTTATACACACTTCGATGTGCAGCATCACCAGAACCTTTGAGGATTTCCATGAAACCAATCCAAATCAGAGCTTCAACCACCTCGAAAGGGTACCAATCCAAACCAATCTGATGAAACAACTTTGACAGGGTACCACCGGTACCACAAATTACCAAAAAAATAAAGATCCATCTTTGGACCAACCTAACTCACCAAAAGAGAGGTACCAGGTACACCATCCAAGCCAAGTTTGAGGGCCCAAACAAATGAGAGGGGGTACCAAATTCCCGCTATGGTAAAGGGCCTGTACTGTATGTATTGGCCATTGGTCTTGAGTTCTGGACCTGAAAACATGGGAAGTTTGAAGTGACTAGTAAATTTGGGTACCCTCTACTTCGCTCATTAGTTCGGATTTGCTTCTTTGCCAGTGCCTGGCTTTCGAAACCAAACGTGGTTTGAGTTGGGCGCCCCTCCAGCCCCCTGAAGAGTTGAACGAAAAGCACGACGTCGATGTGATCGGGTCATAACGTGGGTCACCGTCGATGGTCAAGCATCGAAAAGCACACCCCAGGGGGGTCCGGATCCTCAAACCCTATCTCTCAGAGGGTGATGTCTCAGACATCTTAACAGGTAGCCTTTACTGGGGTCCAGTCGTACCTTCTGTGCGATGTAGATCGGAATGGGTGCAAGTAGCACTAGTCCACAAATCGCACCTCCAGCGCTGCACCGCAGCACTCCGCAGGAGGTCTTTGGCTTCCACACCTTGGAAGGGGCAGGTGCCGATGCCTCGCGTTACGCTTCGATCTGCTGGCGAATGCAGCCGTTGCATTCCGGTGAGCTCCAATAGCATGGGCATTTTCCCCAAACAACGAACTCCAAAGGACCTTCAAAGGGACCGAGCTTGGGATCCCAGGATTTTTGGTCACTTACCGCTGTAGATGGTCACTTCGAGACTTCATGTCAAGCCATTTGACACCAGCACCGGTCGCAGCAAACACGGTCTTTCCACCGCCAGTCACGTCCCACACCGTCCATCCGTCCCGCAGCTCCGCTCCGCGGGTTCTGAAGCTGGGAGGTTCGGGCACGGTGAGCGGCTTTTATGCCATCAGCGGATGTCGCCGTCCCAACGAGATCGGTGATCTCAACGCCCGCGGGTGCACCGACGAGGTGGGGGACGGGACGACGCGAAGCTGGGTGAAGCCACCGCCCAGCCGGGCTCCGGGGGTGCCTTTCACGGGCGTGTGAAGTCCATGTCAGGTCAGCAAGTATCACATCGGAATGGAAACCTGGACGAAGAGCTATCCATTGGTTTGGGAGCAGCTTCAAACGGAGCGCGGCAGCATGGCGGCCAGGAATTTGGGCAACATGGGCTACGAAGGACTTGAGTTTTCAATCGGGTGGACGGTCCTGTGAGAGGACACCAGCGGCTGAAATCAATATGTCAAACCGCGAGTCGCCACTAGGCAGGTCACTGTTTGATCTAAAGAGTCATGTGTTCTTTCTTTTTCAGGAGGTCATGAACTGAAGGGCCTGATTCACAGACTTGGTAGCTGGGGCACTGGGGCATGCTGGGCCCTGGGGCATCTTTGATAGATCAAGTATTACAGTATCAATCAGCTGAGTGGCCCTGTGAGGAGTCACAGGTGGCTTCATTCCAAAGCCAGTTCAACAAGAAGCTTACGTGAAAGAAGGCATCGCTCTACAATACTTCCGCTTCTGGAACGCCTCCTGGTATGCTCCGTCTCAATACTTTGATCCGATCTCCATGATCAATGCCACAGACATGCTGAAGCCATGTTCCTCCACTGCCTCCATCTTCACGGAGGATGGCACGATGAAGTCCTATGTGGAGTTATCAGGCGATGTGGATGGAGTCGCCTGGTGACATCATCGGGTGATGCTTTGTTTTCAGTGGATGATCCCAGAATGATGAGCCTCAAGGGCTTTCTTTTTGGATTTTGTTGGTATTCTTCCCAGTTCCTCAAGCAAGTACAAGGTTGTGATCGCAGATGATGGCACTTATTCCGGAAAATGTGCCGATGGCTATTGGTGGATGAGCCCATCGTGCCGTCACAATGCATCACTTTGCGTTGCCCAGTGATACACTCCCTGAAGTCATCATGGAAGTGGACGGCGTAGGCCCCTGGAGGACCATTTTTCTCTACTATCAGCAGCGGGTGAACTCCACTCCCATAATGATTTCATATTATGTCAGACAATTTTTGTATCGTGGTAACGTTTTGTTCAACGACTCGTCCGAGAAGATTCACCCGTCTTCGGGTGCCTCAAATCAGTGAGTGGAAAATCACACGAGAGCCCGAGCAGCGAGACAACGCAAGGCTTGGGCGTTGCTTTTGAAAGGATGCAACAGTCCAGGAACACTCCTTCAAGCAGATTTTGACCTGAACAGTTTAAGCCCTTTTCGATTGTTTCAAAGCCTTTGAAGACCTTTTCGATTTGTGTCGAGGAAGGAATCATGCTGCCGATTTTGAGTCATCATTAGATCCAGTTCCATGAAGTGCTATTTCAGTTCTTCAATGTATGATAATTTGGTTACCGGCTATCTCAAATGACTGTGGCCGACCAAGGAACAATACATGTTTTGCTTGTGTGTTTTCTTTTTTTAAGGGTATCTAAAATTGGTCTTAAATAAAATGGATGACACGGATGACCTTTTTGCACAGTCAAATTAGCCAGTCACGACAGAAATTGGTTTTCTTTTTTCCTAGTAGTCTATCGCAACGGTGATTATATAATTGTATTGGTCTCACTTGAGTTATCCCAGGTTCCGTTTGTCACCGGCGGTGTTGGCTGGGATGCCAAGCAATACATGCAGAAATCGGCCAAGTGGAACATGCCCGTGGCCTTGGGTGTGGCAGCTTCGTGGGGCAAATACACCAGCTATCCACACACGCATCCGATGCCTGAATGAATCGAATGGCGGTCAGTGGACAGATCATCAAGCCGTGAAGGCAAAGAGAACGAAGGGTCCGCCCCGAGAGGTTTTTCTTGTTCTTTTTCATCACTCACTGCGATGGCCTACTAGCGATGGCCTGCAACTGTCCACCCTCAAACACCTCTGTTTGTTTCAAACAACCACGGTACGGGGGATCATGTCTTGACTTTTCGGCCTCAAAGCTGAGGAAATCGTACTTCTACTGGTGGATTCCGGATCCAACCTTCTTGGAGCTGCAACCTCTTCAAGTGATCTATCCTCCTCACGACCGAATAGCCTACAGCCAAGGCGATCAAAGCTCCGCTGCCAGCGCCATCTCCATTGACAAGCTGGTCAGTAGAGACTTGAGCATTTTGGCACCGAATGTGGAGAGTTTTGTGAAGAACGTCATGGTGAGCATAGAGCAGATGAATGATATGCTGTTGGATCAAAAGAATACCAGTGACTTGGCTTTCTGGCTGGTTTTCTGGCTTTCACAGCGACCCGCGATATATGATTGTATATATATATATAATGTATATAATGGAAGTTGATGGATCAGAGGTATCGTGAGGGATGGCATGTTTGTCAGGGGTTGATTCATTGAGGTTGACATAGCTTTTTGTGAGAATTGATCATCTCCCAAGTGGCTCGTGTCATATGGAGAAATGATATCATACCCACACACTCCATGTATGCTATATATGCCTACATTGACCCCAAAACCACCCCAATGTAGGCATATATGGCATACATGGAGTGTTTGGGATATATATATATATATATTTATTTATATTTACACATACATACCAGCACCCTCCAACAGGCCACCACCTACGACTTTGAAGTCTCCATTTCAGCCACCATGCCGGAGACCTGTTTATCGTCGGGTGCAGTCGATGGAACATCCACCTTAGATGACAAGCACCATGCAGTGGATGAATGAAAGACTAAGTAGATAGGGAAATATCACATTCGCAGGCATTGTTGAATACAAGTTGGACCCCCTGAAACATGTGCAATTTCGGTCGACAAATATTGAACTTATACGCACAAGGACCTGGACCACAATGTTGCAAGACCCTCCATGTTCCCGTGTTGTTGTCCACCACCACTTTCCCTCCGATGCAGGAGATGCAGGATCGGTTCCCAAACGAAGAAGACCCCCGCCCCCAAGAGTGCCCCGGGAGTCAGAGCCATTAGTCATGCCACAGATCTATGTTTTATGTATGCATGTCTACGTTGTTTTTCTGTAGCACTTGCTGCGGGCGACACTTGGAGGGCCGTTCGGCCGGACCGTTCGCTGAGGCGACACTTGGAGGAACACCACTTGCCGCTGGCTGCGATCCCATGCGGACGTGTGGCGCTCGTGGATCCCAGATGAGTGTCCCGGATGTGTGGCGCGCGGGGTGTTTCACGAACATATACCCAACGGCGGGGGTGCAGGAAGGAGTCAAATGGGTTAACTATCTTCAAGTATCGAATCTGACACTCCAGGTGCAAACGCCGGACATGGACATACAGGCGCCACGTGACCCAGAATGGACCCCCCAGAATGGACCCCACTAAATCGGGAACACCAGATGAGAACACAAAGGCCGATCCTCAACTGTGACTTGTCACTCCTACAGGATGTTCCATCCGCTCAGGAGTCAATGCTTTCCGGGCTTTGGGCTCTACGACACCGTCTTGGAAACCTTTACGGACCATCGGGTGAATGTCAGTAACAAGATCAGCTGCCAGGTCAGATTCTTCCGTCGGTTAGACAGCGTCACGCGGCGTGTTCGGTCCTTCTCCCCTCTGAAGTTTGGGTTCTTATCCTCACGTGGAGGTAGTTGGCAACGTAGGTTGTGAGTCAGGTCAGGTAGTTGCACAGGCTGTTTTGGCAGAGTCGTGACACAGGTGGTTCACCGGTGACCGTTGGCAACGGGTTCATCAGATCCATCAAGTTGGCACAATGACTCACCTGGCCTCAACTCTGCCGTCCATGGTCTTTGGTGCAGGAAACAGAAATCGCGATCAGTCGACTGATCCTGACTGATCCCACATTGTTCGGCAGTCCTGGATCTTCGATTCCGCATTTGTAGGCCCTAGAAGTCCAAAGACATTTCCGCAGTGAAGTAAACAACTTGTCCATTTTGGTCCCCCTCAAGACCTAACGACCATTTATGTATAATATATGTTACTATATATTACTACTATAGCCTCTCTGAGTCTCAGGGTAGGCTCAATACAGTTCAGGGCATGAAAAAACATCATCAGCATAATACTGATTCCTGAGATGTCGGTTGAACCCAACATGTAACACCTCGGGTTTGAACTCTGGACTCTTGGCCCTCGGGTTTTGGGGTTTCGCGTGTCCGGTTTCCGGTCGCCTCCCCCGACGGGTCGTTTTTCGGGGGCCGTGCATTAGTTTTCAGCGCGCGGAGGCGTGTCCATCCGGCACCTTCTCTCAGCCCTTGACAGAGTCTGGGTGGAAAAGAGTGGAAAAGAAGCGGAGTTTTCAGGGGCGTTTGGAAGGATGGGTGTTTTTGTGGTCTGGTCAAGGTAGGGTGTTGATCAGACACCTTCCCCAGTTCACCTGCAGGAGCAACATGAAGCGATGACCAGCGGCACTTTCTACACAGAGGACCAAGAACCACACGACCAACCACGAAATACTCCCTGGGTAAGCCAAACATAGAACCTGAAAAACCACCTCTTCCGTATTCGGAACATCCTCCAGTGGTCCATGGTCAGGCTTTATGTTTAACAGCTCACAACTACCAGGGCCCCTCCTTAAAGGGGTGTCTATTTATGACAACACCTGAACCATGGGTCCAGGTCTATGTATATTCCAGATAGCTACTAAGGCTATACCAGCCAATCCGTGGGACTGGCATATTTATGACTCCGGATCAGGGCCAGGGGTTGCCCCCCAAAAGCCAACTGTGATGGTGACGTAGGTTGACCGGTCGACAGATAAGAAGACAACGAATGATGTACCGACGTCTCCTTGGACAAGGAGAGGATGGGCATGAAGACACAAGCTTTGGTTGTCAGCAAAAGCACCACCATCCTTAACAAACAAGCAGCAACAACAACTTCGACGACGACGACGACCACGACGGCTGCTGCTGCTGCTGCTCCTTCTACTACTACTACTACTACTACTACTATAAATACTAACTACTACTACCTACTACTACTACAACGACGGCTGCTGCTGCTCCTCCTACTGCTACTACTACTACTACTGCTACTACTACTACTGCTACTGCTACTGCTACTGCTACTACTATCAAAGGGGTAGTGCACAGAAAGGGTTTTGCAAAAACCTATTCTACAAACGTCGTGGAGGGCGCGTGACCTTCGTAGAACCCAAGACTGTTCGTGGACAGCTCGTGGAATGGTGGGCCAGTAGGAGAACTGACTGCAACGAAATCCCAGAAACCTTCGCAGAACTTCGTGGAAGGTATTTTTGATGCACTAACTTCGTACAAACGATTTTTGCTGACCCCCTTTCTCCACACACCCTCCGTTTAGCCTTCATACTACTACTACTACTGCTACTACTACTACTACGACTACGGCTACTACTACTACTACTAATACTAACTACTATAACTACTATAACTACTATAACTACTATAACTACTAACTACTACTAACTACTACTACCTACTACTACCTACTACTACCTAGGTCTTCCAGGGTGTGCACAATTTTCGACCTTAGGAAAAGAAGTGCCTCTAGACTGGTAGGTCCACAATTCTTGTCCAGGGGCAGATCTTTGGTTTTCTGGGTTTTGGTATGTTTTGGTAATGACTTGACCCGTCACTATCGCTCCTGTCGTGCTCGCCAGGCATCTTCCAGCTCACATGCAGCATCCAAAGTGTGGATCAGCATGGGAACATTAAGTGATTCCAACTTGAACTCACAAACATGTCTTGGAACTTGGGTGTCCATGGAACACTATGAAATCAACACAAGTCTTTAAAGAGGTTGCAGCCATGGTGGTGAAGCGGTCACTTCCATGGAAACTTCCAGGTCCAAGGGATTGGGCTGTTGGGCCAACGTCGGTCGTGCTTGCTTTTTTTGTCGTTGGAGCAGGTCTTGAGTGAAACATATGGCACAAGCTTTTGTGAGCAACAGCTTTGTCAAAGCGCGTGGACAAAAAGCTTTCATAAGCTTTTCCATTTCCATGCCAGGCGGCGATTTTCAATGGTTGTTCTCGTCATCTTAGCAGCTTTGGTGAGCCCGGCCAATTTTCACTACAAAGCACCTCTACTTTGCTCTCTACTCGGAAGTCTTTCCACAGAGTCGTGTTTTCCCTTTAGACCTTTCACTCAGCTTTCACTTGTGTTTGCTGAAGCTTTTTGTCCTCAACTGGACTGCCCGCCGATCAGCACTCAGTGGCCTGCAGCGATGGCTTCCAAACATGTGGAGCCTCTCGAGGAACCCCAGTCGTTAGCTGAGAAGTGGGAAAGCAACAAGCACATTAGGAAGCGTCTCCGGGAAAACAATGGTTCACTCGTCAAATGGCCTGCTCCTGAGCTAACAGGGAAACCGACTATGGCTGGTATCTCCATGAATATCCACGCTCTTCGGATTTTGGCCGAGCACTGGTGCCCCCAACAGAAGGTTCCCAAGAGCCCGAGCGTCAATGATTTGAGAAAAGAGGCCATGGTTCTGAAGAAAATGTTCATTCATGAACCAACCATGAACTATATATTATATATGAATCATATGTTTTAGTTAAAAAGATACACCATGCAAATAGATTCCAGTATACCCATACAGCTAATTCAATAAAACGCATTAAAGACTTCGCCAAAGAATTGAGTACAATATGACACGAGTAGTGCATCCACACTGACACACATGAGAGGTTGTTCCGTGGATGAACCACTAGAACTAGCAGTTGGTTGGACCCTTGTGCGCAGGTAGATGCACTTCGTGCAGAACTTCAGATTCCTTTAAATCCAGCGGCGCTGCATCAGGACAGTTGGGCTTTGAAGAAGCTGTTTAGCTATGGCTTGAGGAAAGCTGGCGCTGACAAAAGCGGTTCTGGAAGCCCCATCCGTCGTGACACTTGACAAAAACACTGTTAGTATGTGTTGTGCAGTTCAACACATTGTATACATCATAATTGTAAATTCCACACATCAGTTAGAAGTCCAACAGTATATTAAATACTACCCAAAGACACCCCAAACATAACAATTCCGACGATAACAATAACTCTTACTGTTTTCTCTGAACCTCTCTTGGTGGAAGAGCAAAACCAGAATAGTGGGTCGATCCACAAACAAGATCCAAGGACATTGGCGTGAATCCATTCTATGATGAGATCTTCCGATGGTGGAACATCAGGCTCAAGCCCGGCCAAAAAGTGTTGGTGGTCGAGGACAGCGATGAAGAGGAGTCGGACTTTAGGGACTTTATGGTGGTGAAGTCAGACCCGTATGATCAGTGCGGCAGTGAGGCATCACCACCACCAAAAGCCTCCGAGGTTTGGGAAGTTTCAAAACAACACTTAAAACATTTCTGTTAAAGCAATATAAAACGATACAATAGCAGTAGAACTTATTGGTTTGATAAATAGAAAACACAATAGTTGGGGGAGAAATGGCGTCCATGCCCCGTCAGGTGCACAGCCCACCAAATCCTGTGGTTGTTGATGTGGATTGTGAAGATGCCGCCAAGGCTGTGATGGCGGAGCCGGTTGACTCCATGTCAGGCGAAACGGAAGCTGTGGCAGCATCTCTCGAGGGGGATGAGAAGAACACATCAAAGCCTTTGCAGAACAGCGATGTGCCTTCTCAGGGACAGAAGCACGATGTGAAGTCGTTCCAGGATCTCTCAAACGATGAGCGACGGGACCGAATCGCCATGCTGCGGTTTCTTGTTGACATGTTCCTCAAGTCTTTGACACGTTCTTTTAACTTTTGTCTCTGCATGTAAAGGGCTGAGGGATGCTGAGGCTTGAATTCAATTTGATATCATTAATATTCATTGTTAAATGCTGGCCAGGTTGGCTCTTGCCAATCGGGCTGCTTCCAAAGCTGTGGATGACATGTTTGACACACAACCACTCGATCATGCTACCTCTGAAGCTGTAGCACACTCATTGGCTCACTCATTGCATGCAGCTGAACAAGGCCGTGATGCCGGGTCGGACTATTGTGACTCCTCCTTGAAGCGCTGTCTGCAGAAGGAGTTTTGTAGCGATCAAGATCTCGAGGACCATGAAGGTTCTTCATGACTAAAACCATCATGTTTGCATTGTTGGTGTATTCAACTCAAACGCGTTCCAACCTCCAAAGTATAAGTATAATAGTCACCAATAAAAACTACAGTCCCTGACTAGGTGCTGCAGAGATTTGGACTGACTCGCAGCTGCCCGATGACTACTACACAGATCCTATAGAGAAGGAGGCCGTGCGCAGTGGTCAAGAGTCGGAAGCGAATGGGTCTTCAACTGCTGCCCCAAAGCCACCTGCTGATTCACCAGGTGAAGGCATATCTCCTGAGAGCTTGGCATCTGAGGCACTTCCCGCTGGCCATGAGGAGTCTCCTGCTGGTGGACCCCAGGACATGTTGGACCCTTCAGATCAAGCAAATGATGAGCACAAGCATGAGTCACGTGACCCAGCAATGGATGCAAATATGTCTTCACCACTCGATGGTGGCAAGGGTGTGATCAAACCTGATGTTCCTTCTTCAGGCTTGCCCATTCTGAAGGACGTGACAAATGAAGCTGGTGCTCAGGCTGCTTCCAAAGCTTTGGAACTGAAGCCTCATAGAGTTGAGGATCAAGAGGAGCATAGCTTAGAGGAGCTTGGTTCAGAGGAGCCTCCTGTTGTTACAAGGCAGGAGCAGTTCAGAATGAAACATGAGGAAAAGGGAAAAGAACCTGCAGGTGAGAAGAAGGCCAAAAGAAAAAACAATTGTGGTCGAGGTCGAGGTCGTGGCCGTGGCCGTGGGCGGAAGACTGAAGACACGATCGACCTGATTTCCGACGATGACGATGACAAGGAGAATAAGATCAAGAAGGAGGTGATTGAGGAGAACTTGCCCAAGTCACAGCCCAAGCGGAGAGCCAAGCGCAAGTCAGTGGCGGAGGAAACCACTGGACAGGACAAGGACGATGCTGACAAAATTGATTGGAAACCTGTTTCTAGAGAGGGACTTGAAGCCTGGGAATGGCACACTGACTCTCAGGACCGAGCTGCTGATGGCAAGAAATCCCGTTCTTCTGCCACTTCGTCCAACAAGGAGGATGTTGGAGCCTCTGAGAACCATGATGGGAATAAGCCTGAGGACATGCGCCAGCAGTCTCCGAAGCTTAAGTCATTTGCCCGTCGTCCATGCCCCAAATCGCAACTTGCACGGGACAGATGGTTTGCTGTGCGGGACACGTTTGAGAGCACGGTCATGCCGATACTTGTGGCGTGGGGCTTCAATTTGTCGTCGTGGGAGGCTGGTACACCAAGTTCAACTTGCATATATTATATGTTTAGTATAGTGTTGAAACAAATCTATAGCTCTCAATTTTATCAATATGATGAAAGCAAACACGTTTGTAAACTATTTATGGTCCAAATCCAAAGTTTTGTTTTGGTGGATCTGGATCAGTGGCAGGTGGAGTGGTGGGATTGGTGTTCCGCGGCTTTGGACAAGACTGACTACAAGAAGGGCAGCAAAAAGCGAGGGAGGGATTCGGATACGAGCTCTATGCAGAGTCTCATGGCTTCTGAGGTGAAGCTTTTCCTGCAAGACACCGCCCTCGTGGATCCTTGTGAACCATGTGAACCGGAGATGATGTGAGATCGTCAAACCCATTTGCACGCTCACTCATGGCCTGTTGCAAAGAAACTTACAAACAGTGTTTGCTTCCTTAAACAAACTAATGATATATTTCATGGTGATCAATTTGCACAGTTTTTCCTTTGACCTAACGCATGTGCTGCGTGAACAAACCGAGGGGTTGCTGTTGTCTTCAGAAGTTGCTGTACTAACAGCAACGTTAATTTGCTCCACATATGGTAATTTGTGTGTGTGTGTTTTGACACACATACTGTGCAGAACTTTTAGCACTTAGACATCTGGTTCCAAGACCAAGCAGTAGATGATCGTGAGTGCTCATTAGCGATTGTCAAAACATGTTTGTCTAGCGCAAGAGCTTCCAGGGTCCCAGTTCTGCAACCCCACCTGTTCAAGTTCAACTCCTTTCCTTCCTTTTGCACCCCTCACCCCGACATCTCTTGCCTCAGCCAGGTGTGCATGGCTCCGAAGCTTTATGGTCTTCGACGAGGTTCCATCAACCTTGCGAAGTTTGGCATCGAAAATCTTTCTAGTACGCCTGACCTGTTGACACTCAGGGCTAGGGATGTGGTGTTTGTGTATGTGCAGTGAGCATGCTCTATATGTGCAGTCTTTGTATGACACTTTTCTTTTGAGACCTATGTTTGGATCTCGAGACAGCATCTGCAATATGCGTTACATATAGCAAGCCGATCAAGAACAATCCAGCGTGTCTCAAGACAATCACTTTCAGTACATGTAGAGTATACAGTTCATTCAGAACTAGAATCCATGTCAATTCATCGACTCCAAAAAGGTTGCTGCAGCAATGACGCCTTCCCAATTCGATTTGTTTGTCAAGAGGCTCATCATGTTGAACACCCCGAAGGCAGCTTGAAGCATTCATGGTATCACCTTGGATGCGCACCGGTCTTTACTTGTACAATCTTTCAGGTGTTTCTTCTGTTTCGTCTTTTTTGTCAGACAAGTACCAGTACAGCGGAAACCTAAGGTAGTCGTTCTATTGGTGCTCTTGACATGGTGGTTAGAGCTTCCCAAAGATGGCGAAGCATACCAGGTATTGGAGTTCTTCGCTGGGGTCGGTCGGATTGCATCCATGTCTCGATATGCAGGGTTTAGAAGTGCAGCAGTTGATATTGAATATGGTAAGTCTACGGGAAAAAGAGCACGGCCACCGATGGACCTCAATTCAAATGCTGGCCTCATGTCCCTAGCCTCAATATCTGGTGTGCATTTGACAAGAGAAAGCACAACACACTTGTCAGGTTTTTCAATGTTGTGTTTGTTGAGCGTTCTGCACTGAGTCTTTGCATTCGCCTGATTCTCAACTCAGAGTTCGAGGGCCTCGCAGCATTCTTTGCTATAGTTTGCAGTTCTTGGGTCCCCGTGAATCGGGGCAGTACCAAACGGACTATCATGACACCGTTGGGGAATGAGGATTTTCCTGCTGTGCGGCGCTCTAACAAGCTCACAAGCAGGAAATTGGGGTGTTGTTTTGTAGGCCTCGGATTCATGATGCTCTAGCTGTTTGGGTGTAAACTTCACTACAACCATATTGTTTCAATATTTCTGTGTTGGGACCCTCCAGGACCGTGCTTTGCATGTGGCTGGTTGTCATGGCCGGTGGAACGTTTTTCCTGGAGAACCCTATGAATAGCCTGGTTGCCCTGCACCCTCGATACATATGGTTGGCTGAGCGTCTTCTTGCCCTTGGAATCCCAGAACCTTAGCTTATGATTGTCTCAGGTGATATAGTGTTTTTTGCACTGTCAAATCTGACCTGTAATATGTTTGGTAAACGATGTAAGGTCTACAAATGTGCATTTTGGATGAGAAAATATTCATCGATATCTTGGAAGCGAACCTGGGTTTGGAGTATAACACGACGCATTGAAGCCTTGGACCTTGGGCCTTTGACCAAGGAGGAGAAACAGGACTCGGAAACAACCACGACTTCATACCGAGATGCAAACGGAAGGAAGCGGTTCAAAGGGAATCCCAACTTGAAAAAAAGTCAGCACCTCTGCTCTGATAAAACATACAATCAATTTTGCATGAATATGAATTGTTGCAATCCCACGATAGGGATCACTTTTGGGTTTTGCTGCTGAATTTAGGCAATACACCTACAAGTTTGCTGGAAAACTGGTGAGACTGGTTGCCAAGCTACGTCAAGATCCTCCTCACCCGTTGCCTGCGCAGGTGCCATTCGATGTATGTTATAATATGACATAAACTTGAGAATTTCCATCCAATCAATTTCGATTCTCAATAGCGGTCAACATAAGGTGGGGCCTCAATCAGTACTGGAGCTCTTCAGCAAAATGGATTGGAGTGTTGAATGCCGTGAGTGGAATGAAGAGGCTGACCTGACAGATGTAATTAGATACGCTGAGGGTCCAGGCTGCTGAGAATCCCACCTAGTTTCCGGGATGTTTTGCCTACCAAGCTATGGTAGGCTCGTTTCTGCTTGGCCGATCCTGCCTGTAATTTGCCGAGCACGATGTATGCCATCGACCATTCCTGCAGCTTGCATGACTGGCAAGTGTGTCTGATATGCCAATCGGTTTGAACCAGAACTGGAACAGTTGCGATATGTTGCGATCTGTGTTGGTTGCAGAAAAGGTTGTGAAAGGCAGTGGACACGCTATTGTGTAATTCGAGTCTGGGCGAGTGATCAGGACCTCTGACTGGTCAAACAAAAGAGTCATACAAGAGACCAAATGAACTGGATTATCAAAACACTTTTCATATGAAAAGGGTGATCATGAATGTTGGATGACCAAGTTTTCATGTTGTATATGGAAATCACATTTCATATGAAAATTGTTATCATAAATGTTGGAGAGCAAGTTTTTCATATGAAAATGGTGTAGGTGGAGTATTGTGTGCATTGGAGATGTCATGAAAAATACACAAAACAAAACTAGACGACAGGGTGGCCCGAAAGCAAGTAGGCGGAAGAGAACAAATAGAAGGGAAGAAAAGCGAAGTAACAGAAGATGAATGAGCACTAAAGAAATGAAGAGATGATATATGATGATTTAAAACATTAAGATGAAACAAAATGAGATGATGATGAGATGACACAATATATAATATATACATATATATCTATATATATATACATTATGATTATGATACTATTATCAC